AACATGTGGAAGGCTGACCAAACCGTGACCAGCCAGTGACCAGCGAGGGTCCAGAATGCATGAAATCAACCAATTCCAGTCTCTGGCCAGTCTCTAGGTGCTTCTCTACTTTTTGTTAAGCTGATGCAGAGCTGCTGTATTGAGGTCATATATTGTAGTGTACTGCATGAAAATGTCACGTCACCAGAGGCCAGTCTTTACTGATCAACAGGCATCTGAACTCAGTTTTGCAAAGACGTCCCAACCAACTAATATTTTAGTCGATTGTACTAAAACGAGTCTGACAGTAAACGTCTCTCAAAGTGTGACTAACATTAGCCGTGCAAGCAGCAGCAGTCTGCCCACACACCTGGATGGCATGCAGTGTGCACTGCAGGTGGTTACATGTTAGCTTATTCTGACAGCCTTTTTAGAAGCATTCATTGTGTAGATGAAATACTGACAGACTCTGATTTTAGGAAAAATGCGTTGTTGAATTTTGAATAACATGATAACGAGCTCATTGGAATTAGTTTCGCCGATGCATTTTAGGGTCGAACAGTTTCATTTCTGACTGAAACAAAGGTTTACTGAACTAGCATCAGTGTTGTGGTCAAATGACCTCTCACTGTTAAGTGGATGTGGATGGCTTGAGTGGTTTATGTGCATTACTTTTATTGAACCCAGCATGCACACGGTGATAGCAGGTGAACTTGCAAGGTATAATAAATAACAAAAATGAAGGCTGTTCAATTCATGTCCATTGCTCTCTCAGAAATGAATTCTCTTGTTAATGCTGCTAAAGTTAGAAATGTGATTAAAAGTGTGAGGCTGAAACATGCATGTCTGTTTTCTGATGTGTCCCTCAGAGGATTCGCTCCACTGTGGATGAGAAGGAGCAGAAGCAGCTGCTGATGGACCTTGATGTAGTGATGAGGAGTAGTGACTGTCCCTACATTGTGCAGTTCTACGGCGCCCTCTTCAGGGAGGTCTGAAAAACACACCCACCTGTCTTTTTTTTTATGTTACAGAAACAAAATATACCTGATTCATTCAGTTGATTGCAAATTCTTGAAGGAGTCTAACCTTTATGTCTTTGTTTCAGGGGGACTGTTGGATTTGTATGGAACTTATGTCTACCTCATTAGACAAATTCTACAAATATGTATATTGTGCATTAGATGACGTCATTCCAGAGGAAATATTAGGCAAAATAACATTAGCAGTAAGCAACGATTTCATATTCATGTAATGTAATTTTCCTGTAATGGCATGCATAGCATCAAATAATTAACCAAAGATTTTTTTCTCTTTAACAGACCGTTAAAGCACTGAACCACTTAAAAGAAAACTTGAAAATAATTCACAGAGGTAAGTTTTCTCATTTTATTCTGATCAGCTATTACTAATTAACTCTCGTCCCAGTTACATTATAGTTAGGTCGTCCTTTACTGTGTTTGCAGACATCAAACCTTCCAACATTCTTATGGACCGAAAGGGGAATATCAAACTGTGCGATTTTGGCATCAGCGGCCAGCTGGTGGACTCCATAGCCAAGACCAGAGATGCAGGCTGCAGGCCTTACATGGCAGTAAGTAATCAACTGCACTGATTAAGAAATATGCATCAGTTACATGTGAAGGAGTAAAACAGGTTGATGTTATTATCATATTTATTAAGAACCTTCATTTGAGTTGTTCATACCTTGCAGAGTGCACCCCAAGCAGCCAAAACATTTAAATCTTCTGCTTAATATTGCATGGGTTACCCTTGTGTTCAGTTCTGACCAATGGGGGCACAGACCTGTGCTGTCGAGCAACTGAGCCTTTGGATTGTAATAAATCAGGCTTGCTGAAAAGAGGTTGGAGACCAGTTCAGTACCTATAGCCAGGGGTGTGCAATTAATTTTCCCAAGCGGCCACATGAGAAGTGGAACTGTTGTGGAGAGATCAAATTAATACTGAGCAGAATTGAGTTCAGCTTATTAACATCGCCCTCTGCAACGGTCCAGCTTCTCGTGTGACTCTTTGGGAAAATTAATTGTCTGCCCCTGGCTTAAGCTATGTGTGTCAAGTCATTCCTCGGTAGTTTTCACTGCACAGAGGGTGTTGCAGTTGGGAGCGAGTCTATGAAGGATTTCTGACAGTGTTTAGGTCGGCAGTACACCTTAAAGTAATTCCATATATGCCATTTATATGGGCATCCTCAGAACTTTGCATTTAATGACAAGTTCACTTCACGTGTCATTGGATTTAAAATTGTTGTGACTGACATGTATTTTGCATTTGTATGATAGAGTGAAATACTGTCATATGGGGTCTAGTGAATTATCTGTGTATCACAGAATATTTCCATTTGTGCATTTTGCAGCCTGAAAGGATAGACCCCAGTGCTTCTAGACAAGGCTATGATGTCCGGTCTGATGTATGGAGTTTGGGAATCACCCTGGTAAGACTCAAGGGTTTTATTAAGTTAAGCTGTTGCGATAAGGATAAATCCAGTGTTAGACAATCACAGTTCTTTCTGTTTGTTATCAGTATGAGCTGGCAACAGGAAGATTCCCCTACCCTAAGTGGAATAGTGTTTTCGATCAGCTGACGCAGGTGGTAAAAGGTGAGCCTCCCCAGCTCAGCAACTCAGAGGAGAGGCAGTTCTCCCCCAAGTTCACCAACTTTGTTAACCTATGGTAAGCACAATCACGTAAAAATTGATTGGGGAACATTTTTATGCCCACTACATTTGGCACATTGCCTCTGATTTGTTCTTTTTTTTGCCTGTCCAGCCTTACAAAGGATGAATCAAAAAGGCCAAAGTACAAGGAGCTTCTGGTGAGTTTCAATACTACTTAAAATTGAAATGTAAAAGTCATTTTTATTTGCTGCAGTAAATACAATTTTACCCCAACTCCTAGCTCTGTGATATTTGAGGATTTAGGCTAAACCAACTTTAAATTAGCTGCCTCATACAGGATGAATTGTCACTTCAGCTTTGTGTATCTCTCCTGTAGAAACACCCTTTCATTCTGATGTATGAGGAGCGTTTTGTGGACGTTGCCAGCTATGTGTGTCGCATTCTGGATCAGATCCCTGCCTCTCCTATCTCGCCCATGTATGTCGACTGACAGTTAGTCCAGGGAGGGTGGGGTGAGGGTTGGGGGAGGGGGGTCGTTAGCCAACAGTGGGTTGGACACCAAGTTTTGTGACGCGACGTTTGACATCTTAGCCCTAAGAGTTAGGTGGGATCACCAGTTTTTTTCTCGTGTTCCAAAGAACAAAGGAAGTCCAAATTGCTCAGTGCAATGAGACTAATATCCTTAAGCAAACCTTTCAACCTCCCATCACCTCATTTTAAAATCCCATAATATTGTCATTCATCTTCAGTCAGAAAAACTTGAAGCGAGAACATTGTCTTAGTAAAATGCAATGTATCTGTGTATGTGAGGGGAAAAAAGGAATAGTGTGTATATATAGATATAGATATATATCTCATATGTACTTGAATTTGTACACAAATACAGAATTTACCAAATAAAGTGGTGAGCAGTGACGCTCTTGATGTATGAACAAAAATAGCCACCCAGTGGATTGTACATTGTGGACTGTATGTTTGCATATGTGTGTTCACCTCTGAACTGTTGACATGTACAAATGTATGCAGATAGGTCTGCTGTCTCAACAGTCTTTTCATGCATTTGGTTGAGAGCACCTTTACTCACAGCAAATGGTTGAGTATGCAAGAGTGTTTCTGTGTGGAACACTCGTGGATTTGGTAGCGCAGCTTTCTTTTTCTTTTCTTTTTCACTTTCCCCCAATATGCAATCTGTGAGAAGCTGTCTTGATAGAAAAATAAGCCAACTGCCATTTCTCACAAACTGGCCTCAGTTCATCTCTTTTGTTATCATTGTGTTTGAGTTATAAAACTAAGCATCTCTTTTTGATTGAGAATTTCCTGTGTTAGTCTTGTTGAACAGAGCTGGTGGTAGAAACTCCTAATTAGAAGTAATATCAAATGGCAACACATGGTTTAATGCAACTGGATTTTTGTCATTCAAAGAGGTAGCTACAGCTAAAGACAACTGATAGGTTAAAACAAAAAACAACGCATGCTTCCAAATATCCTTTATAGGTTTTTGTTAATAAAAAAGACAAAGGACAAGATGATGTAACAATAGCTAGCTAAGATGAGAAGCAGACTAGCAAAATATATGTTAAATAATTCTGTCCAAAAAAAAAAGGTTAAGATTGGTAAAGTAAGGTATACTAACTCAATAGAAATGTATATTTTTCTACTATATAGTTCTAGTCAAATGGATGAGGAAATAGAAAAGACTGTTACGCTATTATCATGCTAATAAATTCAAGTTTAACATCTAGCTAACCGTATTTTTTTTTTTTTTTTTAAATATAAATGCCTTCACCTGCATTTTAAATGCAATCAGTTTGCATTAAGGCATACTGTCGTTCTTTCAGGACCACCCAGAAGTCTCCCAGGCTACACACTTTTTGTCCCACAAAAACATCCTCGTTTCCTTGCGAGTAGTGGAAGATGCCCTCTACCCTGGTGTAAAGTTAGTTTGGGACATTATGTCCACTGTAAATGTGTATGTACATAGAACACCTAACCTGCTGTTACTGGCAGGTTTTGCTCAACAGTTAAGGCTGATTCCTAAACACAGATCCAAGCACCAAGATAGGTGTCAGGTGCAAATTCTTTTAGTTTAGGAATGAGCCTTAATTCCACCTGTCATAGTGCTGTACAGTTAAACTTCTCATCCACACTGATCACAGATCCACCGTGCTGCCATATAGCAGCAGTAACTACAAGTTTAAAAGTCTAGGCATGGGAGTTCTGTCAAAAAATAAATAAAAACTGTAAATGCTGCTAAATCACAAACTATTGACTTCCATACCAACTACCGAACTGTCGGGAGAAGAGGAATCTCACTCAACACAGTTACACGTTTTCGTCCTTAAGTTCACCACGGACTCGGCATGCTTCTCCATGACTTAGTATGTCTTTCTGGCTTGCACTGATGATAGAATATTACCATGCATGAAACTCGGATGCATCTCCATAATCCAAAATGTCTCATCTGTCTTCCTTTGTCAGTTATAGTAATATTCTGGAGTTTTACATAATTGTGTGGCAGAAGGTCAATGGGAGGCCACAATTTTGAGACTATTGAGATGCACCCGTTGTCATTTCTTTTCAGAAAGTCACATTTACCAGGCGGGGCCTCTTATCCACAGAATGGCGAGACAAATATCACATTACTTGGCGATAGCTATTAACCAAACTGTATGGATGATGGTCCTTTAAGTGTGGGACACTGCAGGGACTTTTACATGCGTCTCCCAGAAACTACCACCATTGTTGGAGTGGGTTGGGGGACGTTTCAGTGTGGCTTGTTTAAATGTTGAATACTTTTGGCCTGTTTGGGAGGGCAACACATTACAACCGCATAGGTGGCGACGTTGTAGAACCCACACGATTCTTTTGGTAAGCGACTTTCCATTTCTGTCTAACACGAAATGGTGCAGACCCCAGAGAAAGCCCACAGATGGAGCCGTTTAACTTCAAACTGGCTCTAGAGCTGTTGTAGTCTGTCATGTGTTTCCAGGAAGCTAACTTGACGCTGGTGAATCTCCAGGGTACATGTTGTATAAATTGCAAAATTACTAGAATGTTCATATTAGATTATAAGATATTATTAAGGGCAATGAATATTATATTGTATCTTCATTGATCGTTACAAATAAAGAAAAGATTGGAAACCTGTATTGTGTGTTTCTTGTAATTTAGACACGAAAAAAAAACTGCCAAAATAATTTTGATAAGTGATAAGTTTATTGCTGTCTTTTTTTTGTAGTATACAGGGACTTGGGCAAGTCAGTGGCCAAGCAACATGGAAGCTTCTGTCAGATTACTTTTCTCTTAATTAGGGAAAATTATTTAAAAATTTGTCAAAAATAATTAAAAGGACAGTAATTGTTCTGACAACAGAAGACAGGAAATAAAGTATTAGCTTTGACATATACTGAAGCTGGGTAATAGCTAACATGTAACCAGAGAAGCCACTCAAGTGCAACACTTCATTTTAACAAACAAACAAACAAAACAAAAAACAATTTGGTCAACATGACATGAGAACCATGGTTACAGAGGACACGAATAATTGGACGAGGTTTATTAGCCAAGGAACTGAAGTCATAATTTTATATTACTGGAAATGACATACATCTTTCTAAGATCAAAACCATTTACATCTGTCTGTAAAATAGCTAGGTGGTGATGTTAGCAAAAAGACTGGAATAAGGTAGAAACACTTTATGTAGCTAACGTCTACCAGCACTTCTGGTTCAAGTGTAAAAGCAAGCGGACTGCCGTTAAAAATTTGCTCAAGCATAGAACATGAATGAAGAGAAAATACATATTAGTAAAGTTTTCTGTCTCCTCGGGTGTTCTGAGTGGAAAAAAAACAAACAAACAAAATCTAGACTGCTAGTTCTGCTAGTATTAATTTTACTGCATGAAAAAAGTACTTTATTTTAGCATTTTGCTAATAAAACTTGTATTATGTCTAATACTCACATTAAATAGAACAAGTTTATGTGGAGTAAAGTTAATATCATATTTTCAAGTTAATGACCAATGAGCTAGCTAAGATAATGCTAATTTGGAAAAGACGGTGAGTACTGTGAACAATGAATGAAGCTTACTGGGTCTTTTGAGAATGAATGAACAGATGTAACTAGGAACATAAAACAGAAGTGCTGGTAGGCTGATTCTGTGATTTGAAGACAAAGCCACTTCGGTCTGTCCCCATCTGTCAGTCTTTATGCAATTTAATTCAATTCAATTCAATTTTATTTATATAGCGCCAAATCACAACATAAGTCGCCTCAAGGCGCTTCAATTTAGGCTAACAAACTGCTAGCCGTAGCTTTACAGTCAGCGGACAGATATAAAGGAGGTATGCAAGAAATTATACTTATTTATTAATTTTTAAACTAAGTTTTTAGGTGCATAAAAATGCATTTACTAATCAAAACTAAAACCTTATTTGTTTCTGAGTTTGTCATTCTCACCTATAACTACTGTGCATAATAGGTTTATCTCGGCTGGCTTTTGTGAAAGTCTATTCTTTATTAATATCCAGTATTCACAGTAAAAATTTGATTATATTACATCATCCTATTAACAAGTGCTAAGAATTGTCAATTACAAGTCTTTTTTTTTTTTTAAGAAAAGTAAGTTAGGAAAACATGGCTTTTCAAAGTGGTTCTTTTACTTTGTATCACATTCTTAAGAGAACTAATAATGAAGAAATGTCAGTGATCGATAATGGTACTTTTTTCATAAATCATATAGAGCCCCAATCTGTTTTAAAGGAATGTATAAATACAGGATCAACTATAAATACAAAAGCACAAAATAAATAAATGTAAATGGGAACAGAAATGCTGGCATTTTAATGACCAAAAAAGAGAGAGAAAAAACTAGATGTGAGCTTTGCATGGGTGGAGCCATCTAAATCACATCAGTCAACAACTTCCAGGGGAGCAGTCGTTTGATATTAAAATTTGGGAATAAAAAGCTTTTGCAAATAAGGCAGCATTTGGCTGCTGATATAAACTGATAAGATAATTCTTTTAAAGGTGTCATCCTGTGGATAATAGTGGAAAACAAATAAGTACAAAAAGATTCCTTCAAATGACCTAACCTATACACATATACTAAGCTCAAGCAAACTGTGACAAGTGTTTATTAAGCTAGAGGTGCACAGTGAATTAAAAAGAAATCATATTTACATCAAATAATGAAGTGATTACAGAAAGCATTTGATTTGTTGTTTGTATGTTCTTCCACACCTCTGACATGATATGTAGACGGCAACTTATCTCTGTCAGTTTTGATATTTACAGTATGGCCATTACTAAGCAATCCAATTCTCCAATTCACCTGTTAAGTCCTCTCTGGGGGTTTTTTCCAGTACAAATATATAACTCAAAGTACACAATGAAAGTCAAACTGTGTCTTCAAGTCAAAGCACTGATACTGTATTAAATGTTGGCGTAAAGTACTGTAATCAGGTTTTTAAGTTACATTAACGTTTCTTCTGACACTATGTCCGCTGTCATAAGTACTTGGTAGTTGTGCACATCAAGATCATGCCAAAAAGCACAAGGGCTTTAGTTTTTGAGTATGACGACAACATAAGAACCACATTTCAGTGAAGTGGAAAGGTTGGGATATGACAATTGTTCAATTTTCTGGCTTAGATTTCAGCTTTTGCATATTTGCTAATGGTTATACATTCCACTGGATCATAGCAAGGAGCAACACGTGAACATTTAAAGCTGTTAAGAACAGAATTAAATAGGTCTTTGGTATTGTCATAGCTAATATCAGAAGTCCGTGCAGCTAGTTGCAAGCTGGTGTCTTGAGTTCGATGGCTGGTTTGCTGCTAACCAGCACTTTAGGGACAGTGTTGTTTTTACCAGTGCTCCAGGTGAAGGTCTGTGGCAGAGTTCAAATTAATGTCCGTTACATCCAGGAACTCGGCATTAAAAATGCTTGGTGCACTGGGTGGAGCAATGCTGAAGGCAGTGGCAGAACTGGGTGGTGTCAGGTCGAGCCATTCCATTGTCTCCCAAGCCGTCTCACTAAAGGTCATGCTGACCATTCCCTGCACCTCGGGGTTGGCGGATGCCTTACTGCCGATGGCCGAGAGAGACGTGTCCATCAGATCTCGGTTGCTCAGAAGTTTGTCCTGTTGTGGATGATGAGAGTGATGATGATTCTGAGGGCTGCTGTACCGATCAACCTCTCGCTTCCCTTCATCTTCCTGGCCCCCATCCTCTGCTGCCATTTTAAGAAGAGGTACCTCCCCTCCGCGGCCGACGGGACTGCCAAGCAGAGTGTCTGGGTGGCTCTCGGTGACGTGATTGGCTGCGTGGTCGTAAGGGAGCTGGTTGGGGGAGAGGTGCTCGTAATGTCGGTGAAACCACGGGATGAGGAGGCCGGGACACCCTGGGGACACAGTAATGTGAGGCATAACTTTGGTTACAGAGGACCTCTCCCTCTCTTCTCTGGCGTTAGCTGGCATCTCTTGAAGAGAAAGAGGAGAGGAGGGAGGGTCACAGCAGGTTCAATGTGTCAGGTAAGACTGTGAACAACAGGTAGTGATTTCGAATGCTTTCGTCTTCAGCCAATAGGATCTATAGAATGAATCCTTACCTCCACTCTCTATGAGCACATCCAAAAGCTCATCCATCTGCTGACTTCGGGTCAGTTGCTGTAACAGTAACAAAAAGTGCGTTCCTTTTATCAGCTGAAATTTTAAACACTTAAAAAACAGAATTGGTTGTCTTTGTTTTTTTTTTGTTGTTTTTTTTTAAAAAACTTTCTAGCTCCTAAAACGGGACTTGGCCCCTTTTACTAGCTTTAAAACAGAGTTTTTTTTGCTTGTTTCAGAGAAACATAAATATTTTAATTGGCTTTAAAAAATTTAGCTGTGCTTTATTTTGCTTTGCTGGCAAAATTAAGAAGGTAACAGAAATTTAGTTTTGCTCATAGTCAAAAATGTAGAGCTACAACAAGTGGTCTAATAATGATTAATTATTCACTAACCTTTTTATATCTAAGTGGAAAAATCCCTTTTATGTGCAAACAAAACAATACATTTCACAACACTGTAGGCATTTTTTTTTACAGTTTAATATAATGAATAAAATATTTTGTCGACTGTAACAAATTTTTACATAATTACGATGGTTAAAAAAATCACTATAACGCTGTTTTCATAATAGCTATAAAAGTGCAGTGAACAAAGCGATGGATGAAAACAAAAACTACAACACAGATAAAAATAGAAGAAAGAAAAAACAAGACAGACCACAGGAGGAAGAGTGGAATGAGAGCAACGCCAAAAAAAAGGTCAAATAAATTTCTGACCAGCCATCTCTACTGAATTTTATCATGGATTTGAGTTTACCTGTTTGACTGCATCCTCATAGCATGGGGGCTGTCTTAAGTCAGATGCATCTGAATCTGAGCTACTGAAGGCAGGGGGAGGGACCTGGCACTTTGGCAAAACTGACATCTATATGGGAAATAGGTGAAAAGTGATATTAGTATATTATAGGGGGATTTACCCAAATTAGGCCCTCACGTTTAAAAAATCTCATCACAGTGAAAAGTTTACTCTAAAAAATGATTTGGCGTTGTCGTCTTGTAAAGGAAATGTCACTGACATGTCAAGGAATATATGATGAAAACTGATATGAAGTTATGACAAAATGAACTTCACAACAAAAGACAATAATACACAGAGACAGGCCACAAATGGAGAGAAGAAAGGAAAACAGTAACATACATGTGAGATGATTCAGCTGAAGTAAATGATGCTGATGTGACGAGGCTGTAAAATGCTGGTCATGTGGATAGAAAATTACCTTTGGTTGCATGTTCTGGCTCTCAGCCTTAGCAGGGCTGCTGTTGTTGAGGCCACAGTCAGCTGAGCTGGGATAGACTCCCTGAAGACCTCTTTGGTCGGAAGGATAGGAGCAGTTTATAGGCGGACCGCCACTCTTTTGCTGCATCTAGTTAGCCAAAAATAAAATGCCCCAAACATGTTAGAAATCAACAAAAGAAGAAAAGAGTAAAAAAACCACCTAAACTAAAGAGAGCATATTTTGTATATGAAATAAATATTTACATATACTGTTTTGAACATGTTTTCAGAGATGCAGATGATGGGAAATTGTAAAAGCTAATGCTAGTTACATATGTTTCTGTGCTAGTTGGTGGCTGCCCACATTTAAAAATGTAGATAAGTATTATGTCGGTTTTCTTTAACTTTTATACTATAATATACATTTACTTATGCAGCCCACTGATGATGATGATGATGATGATGATGATGCCTAATGATTTTGGTGATCTCATGACAGCAAATACAGGAATATATAAATGCTAAAAGAAATCACAATAAAAATCAGAATATCCATAGAAAATAAAGAAATAGCAATATAAAGCTAAACAAACCTTGATTAGGTTATGTTTTTGGTAGCGTTTGTTTGCGTCCATATCATTCTTTCTGTCTCTAAACAGGATAGTTTGATAAAACTTCGTAGGGGTGTAAAGTGGGGTCATGTTAAAACATTGGTTAAATTATTGTCTCAAATCCACCATGGTCTTCAAGGTAAACATCTCAAAGTACATTAGAAGAGAACAAAGAAAACTAAATAAATATATATAAAATCCAATACTATTCCCTTAAAAGTAAATACTGCTTCTTGTTTTAAATATATTATCTAATAGAAGTCAGTAAAAATGGTCATTCTAAATATAAAGGCATCATACCTGCATGTTGCATGCTCTGTTGTTGCCCTGGGTGTGGGGGTGACTACAGCCATCCCTCCCCAGTTGAGGAGACAGCAGGTAGGGGTTGTTAGGAGATGAAGGCTGTGGGCTGCTGGAAGATTTTCTGATAGGAGAGTCTTGCGGTGAGCACTGTGGGCTGAGGAAGGTGGACATAGCGGTGGGGCTGCCAGAGGCAGGGCCTGTATCCATACACTGTGGTCCCCCGGGGCCCCCCATGTTGGTAATGGAGGAACCGCAGTGTCCCATATCCTCTCTGCAGCTACCAGGAGGGCACTTAGGCTGTTTAGGGGAGGACAGAGGGCAGCTGGAGGACAAAGGCTCCTGCTTGATAGTCACCCCAAAAAAATGCTGCCCCATCATCGCTGGTGTCTGGTGCTGCTGGTGGTGCATGGGAGGATGAGATGCAGGAGGGACCGTATCCTGTGTTGCTCCATAGCAACGTTTTCTCTTGTGGAGTTGCATCTTTAGCTCTTCAACCTAATAAGCATGATCACAGAGCATTCAATTTACAACTCAATACTTTATAAATAATAACATGATTGATTGTTGCATTAGTATTAGATGCTGCAGTTTCATGGCTGCCTATGACATAGACTTGATAAACGAAAAGTAGCCTTCTTAACATCTCTACTTTACATCCACCTGTTGACTAGCAAAGCATGTAGTGGTAGGTTTAAGAGCTTGAAAAAAAGCAGACTTTTCACCTCTCATTCAAGAAGCACTGACCTATTAATTAGTGTGTAATCACATGGCCCAAGTTGTGAAAAAAGTCATGGGTCCAGCTTTTGGTTTTAGACCTGAGGAACCTTGGATGAGAGGTGAAATGCCTTCATTCTCTTAAGATCCACCATGAAGTGTTAGGAAGCAGAAACAGATCATCACCTGTCTCTGCTCCTGGTGCAATTTCCACGTCAGCTCCTCGATCACCTTCTGCTTTTCCACCAGCATCTTGTCTTTTTCAGCTTCTACACCATCCATACCACCAACCTCCCCCATCCTCTGACCTGCCCCACCCATGCTGCCACCTCCTCCTCCCCCAAAGCCATCCTCCACGCCGAGCTGGGCAGGAGATGGATGAAGGGCAAACTGTGTTGGCGAAGACATGGGCACATCGCTGAAGCTGTCGGGGAGTGAACCGCTGAGGGACAGCTCAGAGGAGGCCGGCGAGATGGGTGGGGTGGAGGAGGTGCTGGGGTACTGGTAATAGCCTCCCTGGGACAGAGCACTGGAGGAGGATGGGGACTGGTAGGAGGACAAGGACCCTGTGGGTGTGACAGGAAAGGTCATGGTGGTGATATCAGAGGATCCCGAGGGCGAGGAGCCGGTGTTGGAGTCTTTGAAGGGCCGGAGTCGCTCGATGAGGGCAGTCTTGGTGCCTGAGACAGGCATGCCACGAATACGCAGGTGCTGCCTCAGCTCTGAAACCTTGCAGGGCAAAAGAAAAAAAAGGAGAATAAAAAGGATTACATATGTATGTTAAGGAGAGAAGATTGTCAGAATGTTCCTCTCTAGTATCACCTACTTTTAGGTCATCCAGATTAGATGGCAGGGGCCCAGGTTTGACTTGTGAGATGTTGCTTTGGTTGGGGAATGTGTTCTTGACTGGAGAGGATGAGTTACTGTTGGCTGTGCTCGACGGGGCACTGGAACTACAAGCCGATAGTTGCTCACTGACTCCTCTGGAATGGAGCAATTGAAGAAGATTACCCAAAAGTAAATATACATATATTGATGAGCCAAAACATTCTGACTGCTTACATTGGTGGATGCACCACATGTTACATGGGTCTGCAGTATGTAAGATGGTAAATTAAAAACTGGATCTCATATTTACTGATGCAGATGTAAGAAGTTTATTATTGTTCTGACATTAACCATGGCTCAAACCTACAGAAAGTAATCAGATCCCAGATTTCTTCCCTAATCTACATCATTTTAAAGTCTTTCAGTTCATGTTTTTTGTGCTATTTACTGTTTTGGATCACACTTAAGAGTAAGATGTAGCATTACTTTTATTAAACCCCCCCCCTACACAAGTTTGCAGTAGATAATTTGAGGAGATTTCGTCAGATATGTTCTCTACTTACTTCTGGGTGTGAGCTGGTGTGTGGGGTTGATAGCTGAAAGTGGGCTGCCTCTGCTGAGCCTGAGCCTGAGACTGGGCTTGGGCCTGCGGAGTGTGGGTATGCGGCTGTTGCGACTGCTGTGTCTGCGATTGCGCATGAGTGTGTTTCTGCTGGCTGAGAATCTGCAGCTGCAGGAAGAGCTGCTGCTGCTGGAGGAGTCGGGCGTAGGCCGAATCCATGGGCGGAGGGGACTTCTCTGCCTTCTGGTCTGGAGGAATGTACTGGTGGTACTTGAGCTTTTTGACTTTAGGCTTCACATCTTTGGGCTTCTTGTGACGGTTCTTGTCGGAAGATTTAGACTGGTGGTAGAGAGGACGAGAAAGTCTGAGTTAGGGTTAGAAATTCATTTGTTAAAGTTAAGAATGTAAATGGCCTGCATTTGTATAGCGCTTTACTTAGTCCCTAAGGACCCCAAAGCGCTTCACACTACATTCAGTCATTCATGTAATAAAAACAAGCTACATTGTAGCCACAGCTGCCCTGGGGCGCACTGACAGAGGTGAGGCTGCCAGACATTGACGCCACCGGGCCCTCTAACCACCACCAGTAGGCAAACATGGGGTTAGTATCTTGCCCGAGGATATTTGGCATGCAGCCTGGGATCGAACCACCGACCTTCTGGTTAGTGGCTGACCTGCTCTGCCACCTGAGCTACAGCCAGGTGGCAGATGATAGTGAGTTTAATGACAAACTGACCTTGACGATAGCAGGAACAGGTATTGGGGGAGTAGTCTGGCTGTTGTTAGCACCAGAAAGCCCCTCATCCTGGCTTTGATCAGGGGGGTCTCTGCTTACACCACCCTATCCACAAATAAAAACAAAGTACATTTACTTTTCCAGGCTGAAGTTAAAGAAATAATTACTAAAGTATAAAGTGTTCCAGTTTAGACGTAAAGAATAGTTTTCTTCTTGCTTCATTTGATAAACTGGTCTGTTGAGCTCAGTTTCACTCAAAGAGGTTTAACCTTGGAGTTGTTTTATCGTATCCACTCTACTGACAGACATCTGGTTCCAAACAATACTAAACAAGCACATGGCAGGATGTAATAAAAGTGAACGACTGTATTTACGCAGCTATTTTATAGTCTTTGGCAACTTTTTTGCTATTGTTGCCTTAGATTTCATGCATTTTGCTCTGACTGTATCTGTTTTCTTCTCATTTCTTCTTCATGATTATAAAGGTAAATTGAACAGACAGGGAGACTGCTTGACAGTTTATAATCCAAATAGAATAATTATCCCTAAAATGCTCATGTATTGATGTTTCCTCCGCAAAAGTATTCCAAAAAGCTTTAAACAAACCTTTGGGACTGACATGACGCACAGAGGGATGATGATTCAGTTGGAACATTTAAGAGGCAGAGGTCTAAGAGATATAAACAATTGTGTTCTGGCACAAATTTCAGTTGAGGGACCGTTTCTGTTGGTGACCGTTGGAATGAGGTCACCGTGAGTGAAAGGTAAGCAGCAAGCATATAAAGGCAGCTGTGCCGCCAGCATGGCTCAGCATGCAGGAATGTGACACCTGCCTATGTCAACTCAGTCCAACAGTGGAAAACAGAGGATGTGCAGCTCACTCTGCTACCACAGGAGGGCAGCAGAAATAAACTGCTGGTAGCTTGAGCTTGAGTGAAAGAAATGGATAGAACAAAGGAGAGGAGAGGAGGCGTGTTTGTGTGTTTTTTTGACCTGTCGTTCGCTGGTGAGGGCAGGTGAGGACGAGGAGGAGGCCGTACTGCCGACAGCCTCAGATGAAGGGCAGGCCGAACCCTGCGACTCATCACTGTGGTGCTGCTCTGGAGACAGACTCTCACTGCTGCTGTCCTCCTCAAATGCATAGGAGTCCTCTTGCTTAGGGAGCTTACCATGGTTTACTGCAAGAAGAACAAAAACAGAGATACGTGGGGGTGTCAGCGATGTAATATCTATCAGCCTAGACCCCTTTTACACCTAGAAACAAAACAAAACAAAAACTGTAAGTGCACACAGAATGCATTCGGATCGTCTTCAGTCTGCCAGGCGTGCGTTGTTATCAGACATAACAGAAATCTGCACAGTGTGACTACAGCCTAAAGGAAATGATCCACATAGAAACTTTAAAGATCACCTAACCTAACAGTGTCTAGCAGCATTGCTACAATTGACATGGGATGTACCATCTAACTCATTTGCATACTGAGACACACATCAGGGCTGTTACAATATTACTATGCTCAAAAAAAGTCCACATAACATTAGTACAATCTGTGAAGAAAATTTGGAAAAATGTAGATAGGTGAATTAAACTAAAGTGCAAAATCTAACCAGAACTAAAAGCAAAGCAAGTATAAACTGTCACAGTCATCATCGATATACAATTATCACAAGACCTGTGATTCAAGACACTAAGAGCACATTTTAATAACCGAGCATGCTTCAACATGTTCCTTCCAGTTTTTTATAGCCTGGATATTACAGTTATTGAAACAGCCAATCAGTACTGCTGCCTCCAGCCGGCTGACAGTCAGACTTTACCACCAAACTACTTCATCTGCAATCTAAAACAGCAAATGACCAGTCGCAAGACTATTGTGTTCAACCTCAACCTGTTGTTTTAGTGGAAACGGTTCTCAGTTTAACACGCTGTTATGTTACTCCAGCACTGTATCTGTGGAGGTTCAATCATTCTGTGCTCTGTAGTTTTAAATACACCAGGCTTTAGTTACACGTGCTGCTGATAGGGTAAGACCTTTGTCCCACAAACCAAATGACAGCAGAATTTGTCCAAAGCGCCTTGAACACCATTTCAAGAAAACATTTCATTCAATCCACAAACCACTGGACCCTTTTCACATCTGTTTTTGTGAAACATTTTTTTTACCTGCTCCTTGGCTGATTGGATGCATACTGCATGCTGCACACAATGTATGTGAGCAGAGGTATTCACACACTGCCTGTCACTCACACCTAGTACAGCACTCAGCTCGGAGGTGTTACGCTGTGTGGGTAAGACACTCACACAACCACTTTACCTCTAGAACGCTCCTGATTGGCTGGCCCGATAGGGAACTCAGCTTTGATTGGGGTAGTTAAGAGCAACTATCTAATGGAGCTGAAGGGACAGAGCCAGGGAAGGAGGTGGTGTGTGTGTGTGTGTGTGTGTGTGTGTGTGTGTGTGTGTG